CCCAGCTCGCAATCACGCACCTAAGGCCCCTCAGATTGTCCCAGTGGGTCCCTGGAAGCGACTGTCTCTTTGTCTCCTGGACTCTCAGAGTTCAAAGTTCGTTAACTTCAACACTGCTTTGTTTGAGAGAGGAGGGAACTTTGGATCCTCCTGCTTCTCCACCATGTTGGCCCCTCCTTTTCCAATACTTCATGTTTTGAATATGACTTTATGGGGCAAATTCAGAAAGTTCATCTAAATTTGGTTCTTTGTACTTATAAAATTAGAACCTTCCTGGTGCTCTTTGGCCACTGTGGTCCAAATTTATGAGGTTTTTGGAGTGACAGCGGGATTCATGGGGTCTGGAGCCGATGGCCAAGAAAGAATTCTTGAAGTCGTCTTTGGTGCAAAAAGGTGATTTTATTAAAGCATGGGGACAGGACCTGTGGGCAGAAAGAGCTCCCCAGCACACTTTGAAAAAAAGAGTTATACCTAAGTATTTATTCATTTTTTGAGCTTTATTTTAAGTGACTTTTTTAACGTTTTGTTTTCCAGTTGTTTAATTCTAGTATATAGGAATATGATTAATTTTTACATGTAATTGTGAACCCTGAGACCTTGTTAAATTCACTTATTAGTTCTAAGAGTTCTTTTTTTTTTTTTAATACATTGCTTAGGATTTTCTGTGTAGACAATCATATTGTCTGGGAATAGTGAGGTTTTATGTCTTCCTTTCCAATCTGTTGTTCCAAACATAGTACTGAATAGGACCAGTGACAGCAGACATCCTTGATTTGTTCTTAGTCTTGGGGAGAAAGTGTTCAGTCAATCTTTTGCCATCAAATATTATATCAGCTCTGGGTTTCTTCTTCTTTTAGGTGTCCAGTATCAGGTTATGGATAATTCCTTCTATTTCTAGTTTACTGATAACTTTTTTCATGAACAAATGTCAAATTTGTCAAATCCTTTTTTCTGTGTATGATCATGTTATTTTATTTTAAAATTTATTTATTTATTTACTTATTTATTTTCTGAGAGAGTGAGAGAGAGAGAGAGAGAGGGGAGGGGGGATGTGGAGAGAGAATCTTAAGGAGGCTCCACTCCCAGCATGGAGTCTGATGCAGGGCTCTAGCTCATGACCATGAGATCATGACCTGAGCTGAAGTCTGAAGCTTAACCGACTGAGCCACTCAGGCACCTAAGTTCAAAATATTTTAAAACTTTTCTTGAAACTTTGTCTTTAACCCATGAGCTATTTAGAACTATGTTGTTTACAGCATGAATGTGCTGAATACCACTGAACTGGTCACTTGAAAATGGTTAAGATAGTAAGTTTTATGTCATTTGTTTTTTATCACAACTAATAAGAAATACATTGTTTAGTTTCCAAGTACATGGAAAATTTTCATTTATCTTTCTATTACTCATTTTTAATTTAATTCTGTCACGATCAGAGAACAGGTTTAAGGTTTATTTTATGACCTAGACTATGGTCTCTTTTGACAAAGTTTCCACAGAATGTGAAAAGAGGGTGTATTCTGAAGTTGTTGAGTGGAATGTTCCCTAAGTCAATCACATTGGTTGTTTATGGTGTTGTTCAGTTTTATACTTTTGATTGTTTTCTGTCTACTTTTCCTATCAATTCCTGAAAGAAGAGTGTTGAAGTCTCCAGCTATAACTGTGAATTTGTCTGTTTGTCCTTCTACTAGTTTTTCTTTATGAATTTTGATGCTCTGTTGTGAAATGCCTACACATTTTGGGTGCTGTGCTGCCTTTAATGATTGTGCAACATAATCTGTTCATTCCTGGTAATTTTTGTTGCTCTGAAGCCTGTTTTTTCTAGGATTAGTAGAGCCACACCAGCTTTCGTTTGATCAGTGTTAGCATGGTTTAAATTTTTTCTAGCCTTTTTCTTTTAATCTGTCTATATTATTATATTTCAAGTGTGTGGCATATAGTTTGGGTTTTTTTTCCCGCATTCTGACAATATGTGTCTATTAATTGGGGTATGTGGACAATTTTTATTTCATGTAATTTTTGATATGGTTGGACTTAGGTCTACCATTTTGTTATTTGTTTTCTCCTTGTTCCCCCTTTTTTGTTCCTCTGTTTCTCTTTCCCTAACTTTTTGTGGATTTGTGATAGTATTCAGTTTAAATGTATCTGTAGTATTTTTTTACTATCTCTCTTTGTCTTCTTTCTTTAGTGCTTGTCTTAGGGATTACAATGCACATACTTAACATCCTACTTAGAATTAATATTTTTCTACTTCAAATGGAATACAGAAAGTTTACCTCTATGCAGGTTCCTTTACTCTCTGCTATTTTTGGTGTAATATTCATAGTATTACATCTAGTAATATTTTTCTTTCAACCATCATACATATGTTAAGAACTTCAGAAAAAAATGTAGTCTATTTAAAAAAAATGTTTATTTATTTAGACAGAGAGAGAAAGAGAGAGAGTGAACACAAGAAGGGGCAGGGGTAGAGGGAGAGGGAAAGAGAATCCCAAGGAGGCACCACACTGTCAGCACAGACCCCAAAGTGGGGCTTGATCCCACGACCCTGGGATTATGGCCTGAGCCAAAGTCAAGAGTAGGATGCGTAACTGACTGAGCTACCCAGGCGCCCTGAAAAAACATACTCTATTAAGGTTGTCCAATTATTTACCATTTCTCTTGGTCTTTCTTCATTCCTGAAATACCATGTTTCTTTCTATTACTATTTCCCTCCCATCTGAAAAACTTCCAGTATTATTTTTTGAGAAAATCTCATGACAAGAAATTCTCTTTGTTTTCCTTCGTCTGGGAACATATTTCTTTTGTCTTTATTTCTGAAAGATATTTTCCTGGATATGGAATTATGTGTATTTCTTTTCAACACTTTACAATTATTGTTCCTTTAGTTTCTGATTTCTCATGAGAAAATCCACAGCCATTCAAATTGTTGTTCCCCTGTATATAGTGTGTTTTTTTTTTCCCCTCTGGCTGCTTTCAAGATTTTTTTAATTGTCTTTAGAGTTTAGTAGATTGACTGTGATGTTCCTGGGCACATATTGCTTTGTTGATTTTGTTAAGCTTCTTAAATCTTTAAGGGTATGTATTTCACCAGATTTAAAGAAACAACAGCTAAAACTTTCCTGAAAAATTTTTTTTACACTACACTCATTCTCCTATTCTTCTGGAACTCCTACAATAGGATGTTAGATCCTTCAGTATTATTACACATGAGTTTGAGGCTTTCTTATGTTGAAAAAAAAAACTTTTCTTTTTTTGTCGTTCACATTGGGCAATTTCTGTTGATCTATCTTTCAATTCATGGGCTCTTATCTCTTTCATCTTATTGTTTTATTGTTCTCATTTAGTGAGATTTTTAAATTCATTATTGTATTTTCAGCTCTTAAGTTTCCATTTGACTCTTTTTTTACTGCTTCAGTTTCTTTACTGAGACTTTCTAGCTTTTCATTCATTTCAATAGTATTCACTCTTATTCCTTACCAGTGTGGTTACTAACAGCTGATTTAAAGTTTTGTCTGATAATTCCAACATCTATGTCATCTCAAGCTTTTCATCATCTATTGATTATCTTTTTCTGTGTGAGATATTGAGATTTCTCTGACTTGTTCTATGCTAAGTAATTTCAGATTGTGTCTGGGACATTTCGAATGTTGTGAACTCTAGCTCCTGTTCATGTCTTCTGGAGAATGTTGATTATTTTGCTTTAGCAGGCAACCAACCAGGTTAGGTTCAGTCTGCAAGTTCTTACCTACCTTCTGTGGACAACGTTTCCAGTATTAGTTTGGTTTCACAGACTTGCCAGTGCGATTTGATCTATTCTCTATTTGCCCATGAAGTTGCCAGTATAGGGTGGTAGTTTCTCCTTGAGTTCAGTTCTCAAAGCCTTTGGAATGTGGTTTAGGGTCAGATCCGCACATGCACAGCTAGCTCAGAGTTGAGCCCAGAGGTTGATACATCATCTGACGTTCTTAAGTCTCCTCCTCGTCATCATCTCCCCAATACTTTATGGCTCTCAGGGGCCCCTTCCTTCTCCTCTGTCTAGGAATGTGAAGCTTTAGTTTCCCTGTCATTTCACATACTTCTCACCACTGCATCTGTTTCTGGGGCCAAGCAAGAAAGGAAAAAGAGAGACAACAGCAGTGGGGATTTGGCCTATATTCTTGGAACCATGGTTATTTTGGTTTGAGAGGATTGTCTTCTCCCAGGATTTCAGGCACCTGCCTGGCCACTGCTACTGCTGTGGGGTTGCCTGGAGGCTGGCTGAGAAAGAATGAAGAAATCTAGCAAAGAAAATCCCAGGGGTTCTCCTCCGTGTTCTATGATTTGCAGTGGCCTCCTTTCCTGCTCCTCAGACCAGAAACAGAGATCTTTTCTTGGTGCTCTGTCCTTGTCTGCACGTGGTGCCCATTTCAGTTTTCAGACTCCCTATGAGCCCATACCAAGGAATGCTGGAGGGAGAAGCCCCAGGAAATAAACTCAATGCCAGTTGCATGGTGCTTTGGGTTTGGTTTCCCTCTCTGCTACCATTTATGTTTCAGAGCCATCAGAGAGCTGCTCGTGTGTCCTATGTGAGTTTTGAGTTGCATTCGGTGGGTAGGACAGAGTAGAGCATGCTTACACCATCTTGAAGGGATCCAGAAGCCCTTGTATGTGTGTGTTCAACATAAAACGAGAGCGGCTCCATCTCCTACAATGCCTGGAAAGAAGGGGAAAGGACAGGCAGCTAACTTGCGTTGAATATCAACTGTGAACCAGCCACAGCGCCCTGGTGCACAAAAGCATTATTTAATGTCTCTCTGAGGCAAGAGCTCCAGTTTGTGAGCTCCACTGTCTAGTTGGGGAAAATTCAGCTCAGACTAATTATTTCAAAGTCATATAGATAATTAGTGGTAGACTGAGGATGTGTATTATGGCCTGTCTTAGAAAAATTCAGAAAGGTTTGTGAAAAGCAAAAGACACTGGAAAACTCAAAACTGATACCCTGCTCCCCCTTCTCTCTGCAGGATGGATGAAGGGGACGCTGTGATCATACACCCTGGGGTCCTGTGCATCATGGTGAGACTGCTGCCTCGGTTGTACCATGAAGACCACCCCCAGGTACTTGTTGATGAACACACATCTTTGTCTTTTTCACATGACTGATCGTTTAAGCTCCTTCCGGCCAGACTGTTTTCTTTTTTGCTTTTGCCCTCAGTGCCCTGCATTAGCAGAGCCACCCTTGCAAAGCACCTTCCGCAGGGGAGATTCAGTATGTCTGTGACCCTTGATTGAGTTCTGACCCCCCTTCCAAGGCCATTTAAAACAGGTCATTTCTTCTGGCAAAGTGACCTTCTAAAAACAACAGCCAAACAAAAACCAGTTGAAATGATTCAACCTTCATGAGGCAAGCCCTGGATGCTAAGGATGGTGCTGGGCCTTGGGGGGCTCAGCAGTCCTTGCCTCCCATCCATTCATCCATCCTGTGGATGTTGGCTGTGATCCTGGCTTGGCGCTCTGTGGAGGACATGCCAGGCTAACAAGATGGAGCCTGTCCGTGGATCCTGCATCCATCATGGGGCCAAGAAGTGGTACCAGTGCAGACAGGCTAAATAAATAAGCTCACAAATAAATATACAATTACCAATTATGACAAGTGATAATGAGGGGAAAAACAGGATGCTGAGAAAGAATAATGGGAATGGAGATGGGGGAAGGCCTAATTCAATCTAATTTAGAGGAAGGGGTGGAGGTCAGGGAAGCCATCTCCTAGATGGTGACATTCAAGCCGAGCCCTGAAAGCTGAGTAACAATTAACCAGGCAGGAAGGAGTCTGCTGCAGGCGGCTGGAGTGGGAGCAAAGGGGGAGAGTGGGGAACGTGCCAGATGTGACAGGCAGAGGAAGACTGGAGCCTTGTTTAAGTATGGAGTTCTGTCTCAAGGGCAGCAAGAAGCATCTCTCAAGTGAGTGGACGATGACTCTATCAGGTTTTTGTATCAGAAATATCTCTTTCGTTGTTGCGTGGGGAAGGGCCTGGGAATGGGGACAGAAGTTAGCGGGCCATGTCTGCAGTTCCACATTGGCGGTGGCTCAGGTAGGGTGGTGTCTGGGTAAGTGTGAAGAGAGAGGAGACATCGAATCACAGAGCCCCGAGATGAATGGGTCCAGGGAGCGGGAAGAGGAAGTCAAAGGCAACCCTCAAGTTCCCGTCCTGGAAGAACGAAGGGCCCTATTGCAGAGTGAAAGGATGGAGCAATAGAACAAGACAATTCTTGAATAAGTTCACTCCGTTGGTATGATAAATACTTTAGAAATTCTGAGGAAGAAACTGGAAGGGTTGAGGAAGACCTGGAGGATGCACGCTTTGCTTAGCAGCAGATGGAAGGAAATGAGTGGAACGGAGCAACCAGGCGTGGTGCTGGACCCTTTCACGGCTTATTTGTCCTCACAGCAGTTTCAGCGGGAGTATTATTGCCTGTTTTAACCAGCGGGGAAACAGAGACTCAGACAACGTAAAGCACTTTGAAGGATTCCCCGTTGGTGGACTTGGTATTAAATGTGGTCCTACCTGGCGACAGGTCTCCTGGTCTGTTCCCTGCACAGTGGTGGCTTCCTTGGGAAGAATGAGGGGCGGGGGTTGCAGGCCCAGCTTTTCTTTGTCCAGGACTTAAAAAGGAAATGGTATGTTCTAGGAAGAAGTGACAACTGGGGGCGTTATTAATCACAGCCTGAAAATGTCAATGACCTGGTCAAATACTATAAGTCCTCCGAAGTCAGTGAGAGAAGTAGAGTCAGGAGCAAAAGCCTTGATGTGTAAGAAAGGGAACCGTTTTCACTAAGGCAACTCTGTAGTATTTGATACAGGCTTAAAAAAAAAAGAGTAGGGGGCTGACCTGTTTCCATGGCTCTATGTCCCTTTGTAACTGGAATCATTGTTCTTGTTCTTATTCCTTTTCTGGGAAGTGACAATGAAATGATTATCAAACCAATGAACAGAGACACATGTCATAGTGAAATGGAAAGCACTTTATATTTTTCAACATTTATGGAAAAGCAGCAGGCTGGGATAAGATGGGTCTGATTGTTTCTTTAGTTATCTGTTGCTGTGTAACAAACTACTGCCGAGTTAACAAACCATGTCATTCCTTCTCATGGTACGTGTGGGGTAGGAATTTAGACGGGCACGGCAGGGACAGCTCCTCTCTGTGCCACATGGTAGTCGGTGGGATGGACCATTTAAGATGTCTTCTTTACTCATGCAACCCGTGCCTCGCAAAGCTGGTTCTGATGGCAGGAGGTTCCCGGGCTGGGTCACATGTCTGGGGCCTTGGTTTGAGCTGCTCATAAGATCCTGGGTTCTCCTCCATGGAGGCTTCTCCATCTGGCCTCTACCTGTGTCCTTCCAAGTGGACCCTCCAACCGGCCACATAGTAGCTCAGAGACCCCAAAGGCACAAAAGCAGAAGCTGCCTGCCCTTCCAAAGGCTTAGGCCTTGAACAAGGCAGCCTGGCTTCCACAGCATTGGTCTATTGGTCAAAGTGAGTCATAGGTTCAGCTTAGACTCTGTGGGAAGGGCCATATGCCTCCCTTACTGACGTGAGGGGTTGCATGCATATATATAGGACAGAAGAAATTGTTAGGGGTTATCTTTTAAGACCAGCGCCTACTTGCCTTAAGCATTAACTGGTAGATAAAAATATTCGACCCCTAAATAAAATGTCCTTTAATTCTTTAAATGTCATCTAACCACTTAGTTGTCTCAAGTGTGGGACTTTGCTTTCTTTACCTTGGCATTCAAGATTGGCCTGCCTGGAGCATTTTGGAAACTAATAGACACTCAGGGGCTATCTCTATGCTAGGCATGTTATTTCATCAATATTCGTAACAGCTCATTCCAGTACTCTAGAATCTCCCCATTTTGCAAGTGCTTGAGGCTCAAGAAAGTTCTGTGGTCATGGGGCTGGTGAGGAGAGGTCTGGAACTCACTCCCAGGCCCCAAGTCAAGAAGTGCCTGATGAATGGGTCTCTCACTCTTTGAAGCTTTGGCAGAGTGTAGGATCATGCATTCTTAGCCTCGTACATTTTTCCAGGTGCAATAGCCTCATTGTGAGGATGTCTGGCTTCCTCAGCTATATTTCCAACCATGCAATGTGCTTGCAATGAGATCAACCAAGCCAGTGGTATGAGTGGCCTTAGCAGTCAGGTGGTTGCTGGTGGATGTGTTGTGCGAAACTCCACCACAGTGATGACCCGTGATGTGAGACAGAGCAGAAAGTGGCCTATCTCTCATCTCCTAGGGCATGGAAATTGTGTGGATGGACCTGAGTTTCAGATCCACTCTGTGAGTTGTCACATTAGTGCATGGAGTGGGACTCTACTCCTCTGTGATGGCAATCGGACATATTAAGTATGCAAATGAGAACTCCATTTGTTAGGATTCTTTTTCTCCAGTCAAGTCACAACAAGTAATTTAAGGAGAAGTCTAATTCTCCCTCACTGTCTCAAACATGCAAATGAAATGTAGTAGTGCGTTTTCTCAAATATTTGCTGCAGATGCCAAATCAGCAGCTATTAAAAGTTGAATAATTACAGTAATTAATTTCTGGAAGGGGGGGGGTGGGAAACCTCATAACAATCAATAGAAGAGCAAATCAAATGAGAAACGAGACCACACAGGAAAAAGCCAGAACAGAAAGGGCTGCAGGACTGCATCTTTGGTGCAGGAAAGTGCAGTAGATGGCAGTGTTACTAAGAGGATGGAATGTGAGATCCCCCTCTCCCTGTAGGTGGGCCTGATTGTTCCCAGCATTACACGTGTAGCCACCCTCCTCAGATGATCTTCCTACCTCATGGGTGAGAAACTGATGGCTTTCCAAGGCACAGATGTCATTTCAGGGGTGATAGCTTAAATAACTACACATATGGGGTATCTGATTTATTTCTTTTTTTTTTTTAATTTTTTTTCTTAACGTTTATTTATTATTGAGAAACAGAGAGAGACAAAGCATGAGCATGGGAGGGGCAGAGGGAGGAGGAGACAGAGAATCCAAAGCAGGCTCCCAGGCTCATCCAGCCTGGGGAGCTGACATAGAAGACTCAAACCCACAAACTTCTTGAGATATGACCTGGAAGAAAGGCAAAGTCGGGCGGCTCAACCAGCTGAAGCGCAGGCCCTGATTTATTTCTAATCATGGCCATAGGAAAATTGTTTTGCTCACAACCAAGAGGTGTCTTTCCCCCGACCCTCCAAAATGTTAGCACCATGAACTGCTCATCAGGAAGATAATCCAGTTGGGTTTTTTTTTTTTTTTTTTTTTTTTTTTTTTTTTTGGCCTCCTGTGTCATCACCAGTGTTAAAATTGGACTAGGGGAATTCAGCTGTGACTGTTGCTGTCCTAAGCACAAGGCAGACATGGAGTCCAGCTCAGTTCTCTGGGGGCTGAGTTGGTCTCAGAAAGAAGCAACAAATTGGCAAAGAAGGAGGCGTTTTTCCTTCTTTCCTACAGATGCTCAGCAGCCTTAAGGGTCTCGTTGTAGGGATGTGGCTGTGGGCCAGAACTCTGACTGGTCCTGCAAGGGCTCTCTGGTCCCCAGCATCACTCTGCTTTCATCAGGACTGCCTTCTTCAGTGACTAGTGGGGGGCATTTGCTTGTGCTCATAAGTGTAACTCAGAGGGTGGGAAGCCAGATCCAGTTTCACAGAGGTGGAACTCAGATTGTGATGGAGCAGCCAATGGGATGAACGTGCGACTGTGAGCTGAATAATTACTCACACCTTCTAGATGCTGCTGGGGATTCAGAGATGAATGTCACGGGAGCTCACACTCTGAGTCGAGGGTGGCTAGGAAGAGGAGTGTAGAAGACAGCAAGACCACACTCTCATGACTATAACAAAGGTTTGCCCACCAGGCCTTGGGACAGAGGGGAGGGAAAGCCACAGAGAGCTGGGGATATGGCTGGAATCTGGAGCCAGGCTTTAAAGAAATGGCTCCTGGGTGGCTCGGTTGGTTAGAAAAACAGCCCCCACTTCCGCTCAGGTCATGATCTCACCCTTGGTGAGTTTGAGCCCCGTGTCAGGCTCTGTGCTGCTAGCTTCAGAGTATCTGTCTCATTCTCTCTC